GACTGATTTTAAAATATCAGTAATACAACATAAGGTTACTTACGCTGAACATATGGATAGTTATTCGAACACTTAGTCCATTGTGTGCATTTCGTACTCTGAAACGTGTTGAAACAGAAAGCTCATGCTTCCCAGCAGATAAAAATTGAAACTCTAAGCCCTATAGTATGTTGTTTACATTTTAAAATTAATTTTAAGCGATCAGGTGCCGAATAGGAATTTTGGGACAAAAAATGCTCTCCTTTGAGCTACAAAACTTTTGTCATTTGACAATCACCAATACATATTCGCTTAAGTTACTTTAATTTTTAGCTTATTATTTGTTCTATTTATGAGCATATATCCTTTAACTCTCTCACTACGGGTAGGTCAAACTGCGCATGTCACAACGTTTTGGTGCGTTACAATCAAAATTTAATTAAACTACTTAATTATCATGGTATACGAACAAACCTGGCATATAAATATAGATAATAAATCAAATTTTAATATTATTAGTGTTCTTAATTTTATAAAGAAATACTGAAAAACAGTCTCAAACTCCCCTGATGTGAGAACTGTGACATCTTGTTTTGTAGTCATCGCCTTTTCTATAATTTACTTACCACCTCTCTGAGGAGTATAAAATTTGACATGAAATGTTCTCTATAATTTCGTCATAGGTTAAGTGAAGCAATATTTGTATATCCTTCAATCTTATGTGCCTAAAGAGCAATCGAATAGAAATTCAGATCCCACCTGCTACATCTACCTGTCACATACTCTGATCGACAATTTGCTTATAGATTTTTCTGACACTGATTTCAACTAAATTTATAACCAATAGAAAGCCTAGATTTCAGTTGATCGCTCATCATATTATTTTTACCTTTTCGTTATACAGATACATAATTGCAATTTGCGTTTATGAGAAAAAGTTTTCGCACGTGAACGCATCGAGGAGCTTAGGTGAATTTGTAACGACTTTTCTCACATACTTAAAGAGCGTGAAAAATTGTGACAGTTATAGAACAATCTTAGCTTTTTACATGTTATTATTCTGTGTACTTTCGTGCATTATTTAATTAAAGAAAATAGCACACGAACCCCCAGTATTACCCTCGCGGACTCCAGGTTGGGAACCACTAGCTTAGTACAATCACTGGTCATCTTACTGCATAGCTAGGCCCTTGCCAACTACAGTCACAAAATTGAAAGGTAATCATTAATACACATGTTGCTGTGTATAAATCCATGGCTAAAAATACACTACGATAACTGTACGTATTAAAATATTTGGTGCCATAGCGAGAAACCTTGGGCTCAGCGTGCAAGGACTTGGAGGCCTCTTTGTATCAAGGAATCACTGTTTTACTGTTTCTCGTTTATTTGTTGCAGTTATTGTTCAAAGGAGTTATGTCAGTGGGCTCCTGAACCAGCGGACCTGAGTACGTTCATCTTTAAGCACTTCCTATTACTACAGCCTGTTTCTTTTCTTTAATTTATACACATTTACTACGAATTTTCACCTGAATCTTAAAACGTTCTCAGGGGGTTGTTATAAAGGTGTGTGTACACTCTCTTTTATCCGAAATAATTTATGGTGTCTCTGTTCTCGATTGCACAAAATTTTTTTAACATTATATCTCCTCCTTCTAGTTGTATTCCAAATACTGCAACTCCGTAAACGTTTTTGCGCCACGTAACATTAATTTTAGTTTTGTATAACAAGAACTTCCATAGAGTCATATTAATACAGTAGGACTCGTTATACCATAACGGTTCACATGAATAAAATTTTCGTTTACTCTAATCGTTCATCTTGTTTTTCTTTTCTGTCTACGTGCACGATTTCGTCAATATTAGATATTCTATTCAGGTATCACCTCCACAGAAACGTAACATCGGCAAACTGATTAATTTCCATTGACCATAATGCTTTAATTCTTGTATGCCGAGTGACAATTTTGGCTTAAAGAATACTCTTACATTAAAGTGTCGTGGCATGTTGTACGACTACATGATATTTTCATTGCATCTACCACTAGAGGTACAGTTACTGCATAAAGCACAATTACATGATACTGCAATTGCACGTAGTACACTGATGTGACACAATTATTACAAATAGTATATGTACGTGATGCCGTACTATACTTATACATATGTATTATATCTACCGCATACTGTCATTACATTTGCTTAATACATCTTGTGTTAAATTTGGCAGACACTTGGTGTCACATTCAACAGTCAGTAACATAAAACGAGGTTGTTTTGTATTTACTATTTATGTTTTTAAATAACGTGCATTAAAAAGTCTTAAACCGTTTCACACTTATTTCATAATAATAATCAGTTTAACTATTCAAACATCAAAACCAGATATATACTTAGAGAATGTTACTCGCCCATAGGGAAATTGATTAGAGGATATTACTTCCCCATAGGGAGATTGATTAGAGGATATTACTTGTCCATATGGAACTCTGATTAAGCGACCGGTAGCAGTGAACAGTGCTTAAGTGTCTCTTTACTGTATAATTTGCATCACATACGTGACAGGAATTTATGTCATTTAATATGAACCCCTAATAATTATGGTTCGGTGGTTAAAATCTGCATCAACATTAAAACATAAAAATAGTGATAACACAAATGAAGGTGCAACATGTTCAAATAAAAAAAACGCTGACTCATCTATTAAAACGCAAAAATAGTAAATATTGTGAGGAATATATATCCTTTGGGTTTATATGCAAAGGTACTGAACATGAAAAAAAAGCCACAGGGTGTTCTCTGTTATGAAACATTATCCAATGAAAGTATGAAGCCAGCCAAACTTTGCCAGCATCTAGAAACAAAACATACAATGTGTTTGCTTCGTATGAAGTGTCCCTATTAATAGCAAAGACTGGAAAACCACTTTCAATAGCAGAGGAACTAATTCTACCTGCTGTTAAAGCAATTACATCTAGAAGACAAAGCAGCAAAAAATTATAATTTGATTTCATTATCAAACACTATTGTAAAGCGGCGAATTGAAGACATGTCTGATAATGTTAAAAACCAGCTAGTGAAAAAAAGTGTACAAAATTGAATATTATTATTTGCAATTATATGAAAGTACAGATGTTTCTAATAGTGCTGATTTGGTTGCATTAATACAATATAAATCCGATGTTAAAATTAGTGAAGATTTTTTATTCTGTCAGTCATTGTCAACACATACTACTGGTGAGGATATTTTTAATAGTTTGAATGATTTCATAATTGCAAATGAAATTGGGTGGTCAAAAGGTGTAAGAGTCAGTACTGATGGGGCTACTGCTATGTCAGGAAAGTACAAGGAACCCATTGCAAATATTCGAGCTATCATACCAAATGTCAAATAGGCTCATTATTGCATACATAAAAAACCATTGGCAACAAGAAAGATGCCAGGAAAACTAAAGACTACGCTGAATGAGGCAGTGAAATTGGTTAATTTTATTAAAGTTCATCCTTTAAAATTCAGGTATTGTTAATGTTCTTTGTGAAGAGTTTGTTTGTTTGTTTGTTATGGATTTCGCGCAAAGCTACACTAAGGCTATCTGCGCTAGCCGTCCCTAATTTAGCAGTGTAAGACTAGAGGGAAGGCAGCTAGCCATCACCACCCACCGCTAACTCTTGGGCTACTCTTTTACCCACGAATAGTGGGATTGACCGTCACGTTATAACGCCCAAGAGTTGGAGGTGGGTGGTGATGACTAGCTGCCTTCCCTCTAGTCTCACACTGCTAAATTAGGGACGGCTAGCGCAGATAGCCCTCGTGTAGCTTTACGCGAAATTCAAAACAAACAAACTTACACGCTTATTTGAGTTGCATGATGAAATAAGAATGTTTCTCCGTGATAAAACATTTCAAGGAAGCGAGTGTATCAATAATTTTTTGTGGCTAGCTATGGTGGCATATTTGTCTGATGTTTTACATATTTGAATGGCCAAAATTTGAGCATACAAGGAAGGACCGTAACTATTTTTAAAGTTGTAGATAAAGAGGAAACTATGATTATGAAATTAGACTTGTAGTCAGAATGTCTTCAAAAGGGTGAGTTTGAATCATTTCCAACACTCAAAGATTTTCTTACAGCGTGCGATGATGACCTCTCTCAAGAAATAAGAAACCTTATCATTCAACACTTGCAGAGTTTGAAGAACAGCTTTAGGGATTATTTTCTTCTAATGCAAATAACAAGTGGATTCGCTTAATGTAGATGTAGAAAGTGTAACATCTTTAACTGCAAGTGAAGAAAATAGCCTTGTTTAACTTTCATGTGACCCCTCGATGAGGTCAAATTTCATTCAGTACAACGTATCAAACTTTTGGTTGCATGTGAAAAATGGCCACCCTGAATTGTCACCCAAAGCACTGAAATATTTAATTAATGCCGTTCTCAACTATATATTTATTTGAGCAGGCTTTTTCCCAGTTGTTTTATATACAATCAAAAATACAGGAAACGCATGAACGTGGAACCTGATCTACGCTTAAAACTGTCTATAATTGAATCTGAACATAGTATCAACAAAGCAACATCAACCATCTCATTACACAAGAAATTTTTTAATACTGCTGTATACTCAGTTATATATGTCTTTTACTTGGTAGTGAAAAATGGGAAAACGAGTTAATTATTAGTTGATTAAAAACAGTTTGTTTGGTAGACAGAGCCTTTCAAAAACATGGGGTCCGTGGGGAAAAAATAATAATAAAAGGGGTGGGTGGTGAAAAGTTTGGAAACTACTTTACTAGGTATCCACATAAGTGGGCCTGTGCGCACAAATGGGTGCCCAATTACTATAGAAAAAAAAAACGCTCTGTTACATTTACGAATAAAATCATCGAAGTTTAGTGGCTATTAGACCCGTAGATCTATTAAAAGCCTTTGCTCCTTGTAAATCTGTAACAACATGTGTACCGGAAAACGTTTATCATTAGTGACGTCACGTTTTCAAGAAATATAACCGGAAGTGAGTAAGGCTCTTTCGTTTAGTGAAAAACATGTTAGAATGTGCAATAGCTGTTGTTTATTACGGATGCACAATATTATCTAATACTCAGGTACTCCGATTTTGTGACTGTAGCATTTTAGGACAAATCAGAAGTCCGGCTTTACCTGACTGACTCCAAAGAATGTCTTCGCACAAAGTAGTTGTAACTCGCAGGACAACGACCAACAAGCGGCCTTTGTCTTTCGCCCTTCACACTGATTACGTCAAGTCAACTCCAGGCATTTTAAAAGCAGTGGAGACGGTAAGTTAAAAGTAGTTAGATCTAATCAAGTAAACTCCCTAGATTCTTCTTTCAAAAAACTAAGTTATACTACTATAGGAGTAGAGCTGTTTGTTTTACACTTTTCCTGTAAAGCTATACAAGAGCTATGTTATCCCTAATTTTGAACTGATAAACTAGAGGGAAGGCAGCTAGTCAACAGCTCTCTCCACTAACTCTTGGGTTACTCCTGTCTGTCCGAATATTGGATTTGACCATTACTTTTATGAAGTACCAACAGCCCCAAAGTGCTAAGAGCGGTGTTACGACAATGGGGTGTGAACCATGAACCTTCGGATTCACAGCCAAGGCATGCTAACCTCTTTACTACGCTCAGCCCAATACCAGGGCATAAATTAAACGACACATACTCCTAAAAGCATTTTCTTATGCCTAATTTGTTTTAGTACGAATGTTATTTATATATTAACGTCAAGTTAATTTCCGTTAGCCTATTGTTTACTATATTATTGTTACGACAGCGGTAGTCACGTGACCTGGTAACACGTCATGGGTTCCTAGAAGGATCATGACTGTTCCCGGCAACTCTAGTCTTTTCTATGCACCCTCTATTTTAGTATATAAGCCGGCAAATAAAGTGATGGCATAAATAAATGCAGATAGACAGATATCGAGACACCTAATTGAGTCAAGTGAGCGGTAGTGACCGTAACTAAAGTGCGTGAATCGTTGTGAATTATAGCGTGTGTTCAAGTGAAAGTGACTGTGGACATTTCAGACGTAACATTATATTATGAATAATACAAAAGTAGAACTTTCACCAAGGCTTATAAAAGTATATATATATATATATATCAAACACTTTGTAATGTGAAAACAGTTAGGCATATCGATAAAGTACATAACAACTCTTAATCAATAAAGAACGTGATATGGTTAATGTTAAGATGCCAAAGTGTTACCATTCAGTCATCATGCCACAATATAATTTGTTTACACAAGTAATTCAAAAAATCATAAATATATTAAGAGCGCATTTTCAATTAGGAAAACCTACTTTCACTCCATCCATATAACCTCTACAGTGTTATTTAATTTTTTAGATAAAGCAAAGCATTTATTTGTTGTTTTAACGGTTGTATTATTTGGAATTGCTAACTCGACGCCGAAACAAATTTTTCAAGATGTTTGTTTGTTTGTAATTAAGCACAAAGCTACACAATGGGCTATCTGTGCTCTGCCACTGGGAGCTTCAAGATGTTAAGTTAGAAGGTGATCGATCAGAATTATTTCAAATTTAACTCCAATATTTTAAGTTAAGTGTGACATTTAATTCCTATATATACCAATTGTGTTGTCATTGGGACACCCAAACGATTATTAATTAACATAAATTATGAATATGAATTTATTATGTGTTTCCTTCCCCTCACACAAAAAAGTAAATCCACAATTACTGACTTTACATGTACTTACAAAAAGGTAAAATAAAAGTTATATTGAAACTCCAGAGGTTAATTACATAATTATTTCTTCAGCATAAATAACTTCTGATTAAAGCTAACTACCTACACAAAACTAAACTAAAAGTTAACGCAGTAAATTAATATAGTTAACTAGGAGCATGCAATGACATAAAAGAAAACATTTGTAATGATCAGACTGATTCATCATTTGGGTGTGCTTGCTGTTATTGATAGCCCCCCCCCAGTGGCACAGCGGTATGTTTGCGGACTTACAACGCTAGAATCCGGGTTTTGATACCCGTGATGGG